GAGAAGAGATGTTGTTGCAAAGGGGAGGGGAAGTTATTTTGATGAAAGATTACAAAGGCACATGGATTTTAAAAAATGCATGATGTGCAGGGATAAATCATTTATAGTAAACATTGCAATATTACATTAAAAAAAAAGAAGAGCTCAATTTTGATTTCACATCGACTTAAAAAAGATACATTCACTTGAAAAGTAAAAGTGCAGGAGATATTAATCAATTTTGTTATTTTAAGCAACTTTGTTATTGCATCAATAACATTGTTATTTTCCTTACTATTTCTTCTTTATAGAGCACAATCTAACAAAAGCGGTCAAGTTTGTTTGTTTGTTTTTATTAATTAAATATTTGTTAAAAGATCTGCAATAAACAAACTGAAGTATTAATAATAACATTAATAATAATAGTTATTATTATTATACACAAATTCTTCCAGCAATAATATAGTACAGTTAGTCTAACTGTAGGTGATATATAGATAATATGGACCCCAATACAACTTTGAACAAGGCTCAGCCAGTCAAATTTCAGACAGAGCAGTCTTATAATCTTATAATCAGTCCTATAATCAGTTTTATAATCTTTGGTAACTACTTTCATCTTGTTATTGTTAAAAGTGTCTGGTGTGATGAATCAAACAGCTGTGTGAAATGCTCAGTGCTACATCACTCACACACACACACACTCTCTAAATCAGCCTCTGATAATGATAAGACATCAGTTGATGCCCATCATACAGCTGTTGTTCCTGCAAATCCTGCTTTGCTGACATAGACACTGACATCATAGTTATTCATTGGCAGCCTTGGACATGTAGTGCAGAGTGATGATGACCGAGCACATTGTGTAGAGATCACAGTGCCAGTTCTGCAGATAACATCTCTACCAACGGCTGAGTTAAAGCCAGACTACACCCGTAAATCTCTCGTCCTGCATGAATCAATACATGGAGCAGCTCAAGGCTGAAATCAAATGCCATCACAGCGAGGGGATACAGTTTCCCCAGCCTGAGTGCCATAGATCAGGGGTGTACGAATGACTTGAAATCTGACACTGATTTTTGCACGGACATGATTTGATTGATAGAAAACATGATTAAATCCAGCTTAAATGCAGTTCTTACATATACAGCAGCTTTCTGCCACCTTACAATATCACTGCAGCAATATCGCATGAGCACTTAGCCAATCATAAAGTTGCAAAGACCTTTAAATGAAAATACATAAACATTTCCCAAAGTCTCGACTATTACTTTTATGCTTTGGAAACAATTAAGGATGAAATTAAATGTAATACTGCAAGATCAATATAGTCATAATACCAACTGTAATTGTATATTGATGAAAAAGGAGAGAAGGAACAATCTGACAAGTGTGGGCGACACATTATAAAACAGGCCTCATTAATTTTAATTAGAAGGCATAATATTAATTGTGCCCAGTTGTAACTGCTTTAGGTGGCACTCATTTTGGTTAGTCAGGTTAGGCTGACATATGGGAGACTAATGTAAATTAATTTTATTTACCAAGACTCCACTAGCCACCATGACCCAGGTATTCTGAAGTTATTCTCAGTACTCATACTTTATTGCTTCAGGACCAGAGAACAGACTTCACTCTCTACTTAAGGGGCTGCAGGCGGCCACATGAAAACCCTCTTTGAATAACTCATGAAGCACATGCAAAAGCACACAAGTGTGTATTTTGTTTCCATAAAGTTGCCCTTACTCAAACACTTTTTGATCGAATTAGGTTAAAGAAAAATTAATAGCTGAAGTGTAAAGTTTTTGGAGAAAGTTTATGCTATAGGCTGCAAGCTGGCCTGTAGTGAACTAGAAAAGATTTGAGGGACTCTCATGAGCTGGTTTTATTGGATGGAGGTTAAATACTGGAAGATTTTTGAGTCTTGGATTTTGAATTTCCAAAAGAAAACACACATAAAATGCATGATGATTGAAAAAAAAAAAAGTTGTTTGTGGCAAAAATATTCACATATAAATTGGGTCAGTCTAATCGAGTCACACCTTCAGATCATTTGCTATCGCCCTCAGGCCATCCAAGATATGCTTGTCTCTTCATCTGAACAGATTTGGAGAAATTCAGCATTGTATCACTTGCTCACCAATGGATCCTCTGCAGTGAATGGGTGCCGTCAGAATCCAAACAGCTGATAAAAACATAAAAATAATCCATAAGTAATCCACACCACTCCAGTCCATCAGTTAATGTCTTGTGAAGTGAAAAGCTGCGTGGTTGTTCATCATTTAGCATCCAGCCAAAATATGAGTCCGTAATAATCCATAATATTGCTTTCTTCAGTGAAAAAGTTGTCTTGTCTGAATCAGGAGTGAAATATGCAAAGATCAAACACAGTTTACAAGTGAAAACAGTTCTAAACAAATATGTTGGTGGATGTTGATGTGAGAGGAAAACAGGGGATGAGCTTGTTGTAAATTCTCCAATTCTGTTACAATGAAGAAACTAACTGTACATCTTGGATGCCCTGAAAGTGAGTAAATTTGAAGCAATTTTTCATTTTTAGGTTAACTATTTCTTTAATGTTGTAATTATCATGAGATAGTTTCAAAATATCAAAGGCAAATCTGCCTTTTTAAGACAATGAAAATGGATCGAGATCATTTGCTGTCAATTTCAGTTTTTTGTGCATGTGTGTTTTTTTTTTTAGATTTATTTTTAGCATTTTATTGCAATAGGACAGTATGTAGCCAGGAAAGTGTGAGAGAGAGGGGGGGGTGGGACGGGATCGAGAAAGGTCCCCGAGCCGGGACTCGAACTCGGGACACCCAAAGCACAACAGCTCTGTATGTCAGCACACGGGCCAGTGGGGCCACGAGGCTATCGGCACCAACGGTTCAATTGTCAGTTTATATTAATTTAATATTTTGTCAGTTTAGCTGGTTTACTAAAAACATTTTAGGTTAGATTTTAACCTAGTTCCCTTGCAACAAAAGTTGTAGCACTAGACTAACAAATCTTACAATTATCTGAAAAAGAACTAAAAGAAACAGGTTTTCTTTAGTTAGGTTTTATAATGCCTATAGGACACCAAGTCAGCAAGGTCCCCAAAACATGAGTGCATTGATATATCTCAAATATCAAAAATGTATATAAACTGAAAACTACTTCCTGCAACACAATAATGCACAATGGTGATACCATAGTAGCATAAATCTATTATATTTAAATATCTATATACACTACAGTATATAATTATTCCATCATGCTTCTGCATTTGATAAACACTGTTCTCTAAAAGCATGTGAAAGTGATGGGTAATGTCCAACACATTCACACAATCACAGTCTTTAAATAGATACATAGCAACACATTTCCACCCAATCCAAACTTAGTCATGCTGTTCCTACAGTTTAAACCCTAGAGGGAAAAGACAAAGATCTCAGTCATAATTTACAGTCAAGGATTGAGTGAAATAAATCACATTCATACTATTCTTTCTCTCTATATTCTCATACACAGACAAACGTTCATTCTCATAGAGGCAGTAGGTAACAGGGTTTCTGCAGAAACAGCAGTTAAATCTGAACATTCAGTTCTTCAGTGCTGGATGGAGATGACAACATGTTTAAGACGGCATATCACAGACAAAGCACTTGTCATCTGCCAGAATATAAACAGGTTTTAAAAGGACAAATTTACCAGTGAAGTTCTGTTTATATTGAGCTAACAATTTAGATTTTTCAGAGACTTTGATGCCAAATAAGCCTTCAAACACCAAATAAGCAACAAAACGATATGATATTGGAAATGTTGCCCAAAACACTAATGATTTTAAATTCTCCCACTACTCACTACCTTTCAAAAGTTTGAGATCAGTATATACTTTTTTAAGAAATTAATACTGTTATTCAGCAAGGATGCATTAAATTGATCAAAAGTGGCAGTAAAGACATTTACACTGTTCCAAAAGATTTCTATTTCAAATAAATGCTGTTTTTTTTTTTTTTTACTTGAATTGTGATTTCCACAGAAATATTAAGCAGCACAACTGTTTTCAACATCGAGAACAGTAAGCAATGTTTCTCAAGCACCAAATCGGTATATTAGAATGATTTCTGGATGATCATCTGGAGTAAAATTCAGCTTTACCATCTCAGGAATAAGTGACATTTTAAAATATATTAAAATAGAAAACTGTTATTTTAAATTGCAATAATACTTCACAATATTACAGTTTTCTCCTCACTTAAACACAAATCACAGCAGTTGTGCTCTTTTTCGGCAACATTTCTAATGCAGTAAGCAATGTTTCTCAAGCACCAAATCGGTATATTAGAATGATTTCTGGATGATCATCTGGAGTAAAATTCAGCTTTACCATCTCAGGAATAAGTGACATTTTAAAATATATTAAAATAGAAAACTGTTATTTTAAATTGTAATAATACTTCACAATATTACAGTTTTCTCCTCACTTAAACACAAATCACAGCAGTTGTGCTCTTTCTCGGCAACATTTCTAATGCTCATGCACTAGGAGAGAAAGTCACATAATTACATTCATCTGCTTGAAACTCCATTTACAGGAAAAAAAATAATTATTACATTCTGCTTGTGCTGCTCCAAAGAGTCATTTAGGAGTAACCATACAGTAAATGTTCTTCAGAACTCTTACAGTATGTTAATTTACGCAAATTTCATAAAGAGGGGAAATTTCTGCCCTCCAGAAGATCAACAAGCATCCCATTTCTCTGCTTTGGCATATCAAACAGCAGATATCACTCAAAGGAACATGTCTGATCATGCACTATCATATGAAATGCCAAACAGCTGCGATGTTTCAGCTCTACAGCTACATGCTCATCCGAGTTATCAAACAGATCTACTAATGTACTTCAACACAACCAGGAGTTATACAAGAACGCCCACGCGACACTGTCGCTCTTACACCTAAAAACTACATCTCCACAGGATTCATCACAACCACGGCCTAAACTTCCCACCCCGTCCCAGCGTGACCCTACCGTCATCATCAAAGACATCCTCTGCCTCCTCACGCATCAGTTCATTTAGGTCATCCTCCGTGATGTCAGGAAAGGCCATTCCGTTTTATCCTCTCTTTCGCTTAAGCGTCTGAGCAGTAACTATACTGTAAAATTAAATCAACGCTCGGACTGTCTCCCCCCCAGGCGAACGTGAAGCCCTCTGTCAGATTGAGCCTGAGCAGAGAGGCGAGAGGCAGTGGACCGCTCTGAGCTTCTACTCACTGCACCAAGTCGAGTGTGAGTGTGTGTGGGAGCCCACACCATCCAGGCCAAGTTTCATCAACAGGATGATTTCATAATCTCCTGTGTGAGTGTCAGAATGAGGGAGATAGTGTGTGTGCGTGTGGTAAATATGCCAAGCCTGGTGTGTTGAGTGGAGGTCAGGCCGAAGCATCTTGAGAGCCAAACCCTGTGTAGTATTCATCTTGAAATATTACTAACAATATTAAAGTTATTCTTATGTTTACTTTATAAAAAAATCATTATAGATTTCACAGCAAAAAGACAACCTGAAGGCTTTTAACTTGGTAAAATAATATAAACGATCAATCAGATGACAAAATGCATGTATACAGTAGGTCGTGAATAACAGGTTTTTCAGCAAAGTTGTGATCATGTTGATCATTTAGAGACCTTAGAAACTCAAATATGATATGGTAGGCTTTATAAGGTTAAGGTGCATATGGTTAATCACTTACAATTTGGTGTGTTTGAAAGATTCTGTCATGTTCTTCACATCTAAAGTGTTTCTGAAATAGGCTGCAGTGGATTTAAGTCTTTCTCTTTCATTTTGGTGTGCCTCCTATGAAAGCTCTGCGGAACCGACCTAATGACAATCTCATTAACGGAGGGCTCAGCTCACACACTCACAGTCGTATAACAGCAATTATTCACTTCAGGACTCTTTAAAAACATGTCCTAAATAGAGGAACCAAAATAGATCCACCCACACTTGTCACGTTTCCAGGAAACATTTTGATGTGATTGCTCCATCCTTTCAAATTTTGTGGTGTTTGCTAAGGCAAGAATCACTATTAGTGTTATTATTCAAATGCAGAGTTTGTAAATTTAACAGTATTAAACTGTGAAATGTAACTCATCCTGAACAGTGTGTGCTATGGGCATGAAGGATACATCAAATGATGCTTTTCCAAACTACCAGACTTATGCTTTTCACCTGGCGGACAATAAGACATCAAATAAATTCTATTAGCAAAAACTTATTTTGAATGAGGAAGCCAGAACACCTAGCAAATCAACTCTTACGTAAAAAAAATTTTCTTTTCTTTTTAGTGTAATTGAATATAGCATTTACATTAGGCTACCTACCACGGGGGGGGGGGGGGGACTATTTTTGAATGTCTCAAAACAGAGAGTTTGTATGTTTTGGCACACATACAAACACAACAAACCTTATTTAGGCTACTGATAATTTCTTATTTATGTGCGCGAAAAATTTATGTTCTTCCGCATCTTTTCTCTTGATTAGCGACAGGTATGTATGGTGGAATACCAGCCTAACAGGCCTAATAATCAGTATACGCGCATAGATTTGTTCCTACCTTCGTTGAAATGTTGATGAATCCGATTTATTCAAAATGATGAGGCACGTGTCCACAGCTACTAATTTGCATGAAACGTGCCAAATCATGTTCATACAAGGCCTTTCTGTACCGCCTCACGTCCCTCTCAGTCCAGCTAACTTTGTCTTGTGTGCGCGCAGTCGCATGCCTATAAGTGAAAGAAACCTATTGTTCGGTAAAAAGCTTCGAAGCACTATATGACTCCTGTAAACACGTTTCTTATAATTATGAATCTAAATGAGATTGGTCAGGTCTATTTTTCTTCATATGGTAAAAGTTTTGGTAAACAGATTAAACCCTGGGGCTAGATGAACACTAGCATGTAATATCCCCACAAGTCTCCCTGATTCTACAGCTATGGGAGCAAAATAACCTAACATTATGTAAAGATGTATGAGTGAATTGTGTTTGTTTGGAGATAGACTGACTTGCCCCTGGCCTACAGTTGCCTGGTGGTGCCTTTCAGGTCTGTGCGCATGAATAATGAAGGACAAGAGAGTAATAAGACCCCTGAGGTAGTCAGGAGGAACTGTTCTCTAGACCAGACCACACACAATAAGCCTGGCTACAAGTAATGTTAGTGTGAACCTCAAATCTAACGCAAAATCTCTGTTAAAATCCTTCTCATGCAGTTATCATGGGATATATATTGGAGAGGTACCATAAAACTCTTTTTGTTATAAAAAAAAGTCACAAAAATGTCACTGGTATGACAGCCTTTCAAAAGGCACACCTTTTAAATCAGCTGAGCGGTGATTATCGCTGTATATAGGATGATCATTTAAACCTTTAAAGTATTTCTCTACTGTACATAAAATGAAATGTACAAAATCCATTTCCTTGTATTTGTTTTCCTCATCTGTGATAGGTATAAAAATGAAATCTTTTATGGCAATACAGGCTCATCAACAGTCTGTCATGTTAGCTGTTAGTCATACCACTGAGAATGAGCAGCTATCATACCAACACACACACACACACACACACCTGCTGTTTTCAGCACATCCCACGCACCACAGGCTGCCCTAGGTAAAAACAAGAAACACACTGTATGAAAAATATCAAACAAAAGCCTTTGGGAATGACGGTAATCTGCACAATATAACCACAAATATTGATAGTTTGTTAAACAGTTTAATAGAGAAGCTGAAATATATTTCTACTGTCATTCTGCTGCCTTTATTTTATGGGAACATCTTAATGCCTATTGCCATTAAGTTCACATTTTATTCCTTTATCTTAAAGATCTCACATCATCACCTTTAACTTTCCTAACGCAGCTCCAATGTCTCTTCTCAAGAGTTCATCCATATGTCATTTTTAAGTCAGTCAGATAAAAGGATTCTGGGTCTTGTTCTTGATTTGGTAAAGTGCCAAGAACGGCATAAGCGCTGATATGAATAATCTCAATTCACGTCAGTTATAGCTTGACAATGTGCTTTGCAAGAATGTGTAACCTTGAAAAACAGTTTGTACAAAGACTCAAAGAGATGGCAAAACAAGGAAGGATGTTGAAACAAGCTGAGGAAATTCTCTTATTGTGCCACTTTGTTCATTTCTTTCCACCAAGAATGCCAACATATATTATAATATCAGCATCTACTAAGAACTGCTGCTTTGCCAGAGAGACAATAAGAAACATACTGCAGTAAAAAAGGCGATTAATGATCTGGCACATAGTAAACTAAACATCATGCTATTCTTACAGTGACAAGTCGAGGTCTCAGTAATGCAGATTCAGTGCACATTAAAGTGGTTTAAGAATATGACCGGTCTGCCTTTAATGCTTGCAGATTCATTTTGAGGGGATGTTGGAGGAAGTTCAGGGAATGTAAATTAAATTAGTCAATACGAAGCACCCTCGTGAGCAAGAACAGCTAACGATTGTTTGTCCAAAATAACAGTAGATGACAGATAGTTTTCCTTCCTAAAAGCTCTTCAAAACTATATTCCAAGTCAGGGTCACCAATGCAACCATAAGGGGAGGAGTGTTGTTTTATTTCTGACTCTCAGTGCCCCAAAGCCACTTGCAAAGCCTCACTGCTTTCTCAGAAGGCATGGGAAAGAGGGCACAAGCAATGTGACAAACAGTTTTACTGAACCACACCCTGTGCCAGTTTCAAATATAACTTCTGTTTTTACCACTAAACTATTTTTCATATCCCAAAGGGCTTTTAAAGGACAAATGCAAAAAGTGTGAGTCAAAAACTTGCTTCATTTTATGAAACTGAATGCATAATTTTCATAATTTTCCTGATACGATGTTTCCTTTGAAATTGTTAATACCATGTTAGTAATGGTATCAAATGCTAGTTTCATGTTGCTATAAGCTATTGAATGATTACCATAGTACATGTAAAACAAATGGTAATACTAACAAGTAACTAGCAAAAATGCCTCCGAACATACAAGTGAACTCCTATTTAGTTTGATATTGTTCATAAATAATCACGTGTTAAATCCTCATAATGCTCCCATCACATAAATCCTCATAATGCTCCCATGAATCAGTATTCACACAATTTCTACAATCATCTTATTCAAAGTACTTGAAATCATCAATTTGTTGCACTTTAATTAATTACTGTTTAACATTATGGGAGGTGGATAATTAAAGGGACATTTAAGCAACGATACAACATAATCTTCATGAGCAGGACAGGCTATGGGTGGAGAAGCTTCAGTGGTTTGCATCACATCCGTTCCCACACAAACATGTGACCAGAGAGCAGGGATGAGTTTGCAACAGGGGGTGGAGAGAGAAAGAAAGAGGGAAGGAAAAGAGCCACACCTTCCAGATATCTCTAGCATGCTGATGTTGGTTAAGAGCAATATTGGTCATGCCTTAGTTGTGCCAGAAGTTCGCACATTTACCACTTCCTGAAAAACAAGCCATTCAGATTACAAAACAAAAGACAAAAATTATGTATAGTAGATGTATTATTTTATTTAATTAAATATTTTTAATAACTATTTATTATTTAATATTTTTTAGGTGATTTTGGTTTGCTATTGGTGATAATACTAACTAATAAAATAAGTAAATATTATAAATATTTAACAAAATAAATAAATATTTACATAAAATTGTAGTGATTAATCTGCTATTTGGTGAGATTACCAAAACAAACAAACAATGCAAATAAATGTAATTTAATATTTAAATCTAAATATTGGTGACTGGTTTGCTATTGGTAAGATTACCAAAATATTTAATTTAATTTAATTTAATTTAATTTAATTTAATTTAATTTAATTTTAATTTAATTCTGAAAAACAAGCCATTCAGGGACAGCAAAAAAAAAAGTGCACATGGGGTAAAATTACAGCAAAGTTGAAGTAATGCTGGTCAGACCAATAATATCTCCATTAGACTTATTAGTAACACATGATCTGGTAATGCCTGTCCATATGCTTTGACAAATGGGAATAGTGTTAGTGAATTTAATTTAATTTAATTTAATTTAATTTAATTTAATTTAATTTAATTTATATAAGAAGTAAGTAAGTAAGTAAATACATAAATGTAAGTTAATATTTAAAATATAAATAT